CTGAAACCACCACAGAAGCCACCACTGAAACCACCACAGAAGCCACCACTGAAACCACCACTGAAGCCACCACTGAAGCCACCACAGAAGCCACCACTGAAACCAGTACAACTACCACCACCACTCCCACCACGACCAAAGCTCCTCAGCCACAAATCCCACGTCCCAAGCCCAAAAGACGTACAAAGACTATTACACTAGGTTCTTACTATGGCTATAGCGGGGATCCAAACTGGCCAAAACATTGGCCATTCAGACGTCCACATTCCAAAACCTAATCCCAGACCAAACCCTTGCTGTGCAGTGAGTCGCTTTATTCGCTTAAGGGGTCTTCCCTTATGCAGATAAAGTATTCTGTACAATAGAACATCTGAAGTGATCCAGCAAATTTAACACATGATTAAAATAGATGTACTTCAATTAAATTTTTGTAAGAATGTACAACACTCATATCGGTTTTACTTGTGCTGGTGGCAGCTGCTTTACCTGTTTCTGGCAGGCTCTTGAACGGTCGGGCACAGGGCGCTGACATCAGCTTTGGGGGTTGTATCCAAGTATCTCAGAGGTGGAAGGTGCAGGATACTTCCCAGTAAGCCGTGTGCAAGATCAGTCCAGCCACCCCCAACACAGCATTGCCCTTGCGACTCTTGGTCTGTCCATTACCCTTCTACTGACCCGAGCCGCATTCTGTTCTCCGAGATATTCCTTAGTCCAGTTCCAAATCAGTCCATAACTGTGTCGCTTCAGTTTACAGAAAAGCAACAGGTCTGTGGTACTTTAAAGATTTTCTTTTTAATCCCTTCAATCGTGTCCGGTTCTCAGAGACTGCCTGGACAAGTCCCTGCCGTTTTCTTGGCAATTGGTTTGCCATTGCCTCCTTCCTAGGGCTGAGAGAAAGCGACCGGCCCACGGTCACCCAGCTGACTTTGTGCCTAGGCGGGACTAGAGCTCACAGCCTCCCGGTTTCTAGCCTGATGCCTTCACCACGACACCAAACTGGCTCTCTCGTTTAAAGATCACAGACACACAATAACGTTCGCTTTCGTGAACATTGTTCACGAGCATTCAGAGAGTGATCATCTGTAGGAAGTATAGGTACGTGGCTGTGCACGCACATGGAAGTGCACGCATTCACCCACAATTGGGGTTTTAGCCTTGCTCTTTTGTAGGTTAATGTGCAGTGCACACCAAGTTTGTTAGGTTACTATATTATTCAATATATCCTATGATGTGTAAAATTGACTCAGTCAGGAAACAAAGGCACTTCCACGCTAGACGATTCCATTTCCCAGTCCTTCAAAAGCTCTGACTGTCTTCACTCCCACCAACACTGAAATGTGGAGACAACGTCATGCTAAGAGGAAGGAACTGTGAAGCCTGGCCAGCCAGGGTTCCTGCTACTGGGTGAATGGACTTCCCAAAAGTTCTGCAGAAGTGCTGCACCTTGGGAAAAAAAGTCCAGGGTTGGTGCAATGTCATGTTCACTGTAGCAAAGCCAGCAATAAATAGATGTAGTTCCCAGAAACAAGGGACGTCACAAGAATGGAGAGGTCAGAAACTGATTCTGACCTGCAGCAATGATCCTGCGAAGTAGTGGGTCAGGATAAGCTTGTTGCACAAGCAACTCTTCTCTAAAAACACTCACACGGTTCCAATCTTTAAACAAGGGAAAAGTTGGACCCAGGAAACTATAGACAAGCCAGCATGACATGAATACTTGGAAAATCCTAAAAAAGGTTATCAAGCAGTAGAAAGAAACAAGGTCATTAAGCCAAGATAGGTCATGCCAAACAAGTCTTATTGCTTTTTGGAACAGATTAGTAAACCACGAGAATGCTGTGGATGTCATGAACTGAGGTTGAAAGCATTTGATAAAGTTATGACTATCCCCTCCTTGATAAACTAAAAAGCGGGATAGATCATTCCACTACTGGATGAATTCACAACGTGTGGTCCTAATGGATCTGGAGGTGCGCAGTGAGGTGCTTCGAGGTTCTGTCCTGGGACCGGTGCTCTTCAGACATTTTCATACATGATTTAGATGAGGGAATAGAAGAGAGTCTCATCAAGTCTGCAGATGACACAAAGTGGAGGGGGGATTGCTAACACCTCTGAAGGCTCAAGTTTCAGAAGGAGAGACTTGAACATTGGGCTTTATCCAACCAAGTGCTGTTCATTGGTGAGAAATGTGAGGTTTTGCACCTTAGGCTGCACAGGTACAAGATTGGCAGCAACTGGCTCAGGAATAGTACTTGAGGTTGTCCTGGGAGATCACCTAAAAAAGAGAAGACTAAGGGGAGACATGATAGCAGTCTTCCAATCCTTGAAGGGCTGCCCCAGGAAAGAAGGTGTGGAAGGCTTACAGTCAGAGGTCCAAGCCTGAAATAAGGAGGAATTTCCTGCCCATGAGAGCCATGAAGCACTGGAAGAGCCTCCATCCTGAAGTCATGGGGGCTCCATCCGTCACTGGAGGCTCTCAAGAGAGGTTGGACAGCCCTGGGTCTGGGGTGGTCCGAGGATCCCTGCCCTGAGCAGGGGGTGGGTGAGAAGGCCGCCAAGGTCCCTTCCAACCCCAGGATTCTATGCCTCAACCCCGTCCCACATTAGAGTGCTTGGTGACTGTTTTTCCTGCCACAAGGTCACATTTGTGGTAGTGGGAAAATAAAGCCTGAGGAATCCACCAATCGCTTTCCTTAACTTGTCCCACACTAAAGCAGCACAGACAATATCCCTTCCCAACTTCATGACTACAAAAGAGTGGGGATGGGCAATGGGAGTAGCAAATTTCATGCTCCTTCAGAGAATGGTGGGAAGCACTTTAATGTGGCCATGAGGAAAAGTTCTCAGACAGGCTTGAACAGTTACTGGTTCTGGGGGTTGGACTCCAGGGTCCAGAAGATATACCTGACTTGCAGAGGATCCCACTTCCTCTTAAGGGTCAGCTGCAGTGATGACGTTGGGCAGCCAGTTGACGTCAGAAGCACCTGGGAAGTTTTAGCAGCTTTGACTGATAAATCAGGTATCACAAGGTCTGCAGCTATTTGAATCTCAAGTGGAGAAAGTCCTTTGAAAGTGACACAGGTATGCTTGCTGCACTTCTTGGGGCCTCCTTAAAGAAGCTGTTCCTACTTCTTTACTTCCACAGTAACCAAGTAGTCTCAGGAAAATCCATGTTTGAGTTAAGAAGGCATCAAGGAGATGGGGACTGGGGGGGCACTTGTGCACAGGTACTAATGAAGGGAACCTCTGAGCCAAGGGTTAGGGATGAGGTGAGGGAGGGATCCCAAAGGGGCCCAATTCTCACCTCGGAAATGTTGTATGGCATGCAGAGAAGAACAGGAGCATCGATGCTCACATTCCATAGACTGTTCTGTGTCTGTCTCATCTGTCCCTCTCTCCTCAGAGAGAAATGCTACTGGCCTGGGAGAAAGCTGGGCCAGTTGGGTTAGCTGACAATTGGCCTACAAAAAATGTGCCCTCTAAGTTACTGCTCCAAATCATATATAAACACCCCCCCACCCATGGCTATAACAGCCAGATTCATCTAGTGGTAAAGGTGCTGGACTAGTGGAGAAATCTAAGTTCTAGACTTGCCTTGGGCATGAAGCCAGCTGGCTGACTTTGGGCCAGTTCCTCTCTCTCAGTCATAGAAAGAAGGGAATGGCAAACCACTTCCAAAAGTGTTGCCAGGAAAACTGCAGAGACTTGTCCAGGCAGTCACTGGGAGTCAAGACTGGCCTGAACATGCAAAAAGAGCACACAACCCCCCCCTCCATTGTTTTACTCATTTTAAAAGAGGTATTAGGAGACTTATCAGTGACCCTCAAATCATGTTTAGAGCTCCAAGTGAGTCTGGTAACAGGGGAATGTTCATTGAACACTGCCCACCCATTTCTACTTCTTAAGAGGGGTGGCACTAAGAGCAGCATGGTCCGACCCATTCAACGTTCTCTTTTTGATTCATGATGTGAATTTGGAACCATACTGGAAGTAACTCTTTGGAGAACCACATCTGTGGCAGAAAAATCAAAATATTTTGCCTGCTGCCTGTCCATCTTAGTTCCTAAGCAACCATGCTCAAGGCCAGCCCCTTGGAGAACTTGCACTGGGGGTTTCCTCTGGAAAGGAGAAGAGATGCAAGCCGAGAACTGGTGTGATGTCATATTGGCTGGGTGCTGATTGGAGGAAGCTGAGAAGTATATGGTTTGTGATGTCATTAGGAATCTCATAAGCCCAAGGTGGAACTGAGCACTTCTTGAGACATGTAGGATGAAGCAGCTACCTCTTCATATTTTGATCCTTTCCATATTATGGTTCACACATGCACAAGAAGACAGATGCGGGTAAGTCACCTCAAAATCAGGGGGAGAAAGAACTGCGGGTGCGCAAAACAATGGCTGATCCCTGTTCCTCAGCAGACTTACCTTTTCTGACCGTGCCTGCTTGGATGCCTCCAGCCCCATCAACTGCAGCACCTGGGGCCACAGAGGAAAACCTCGGGGACTTCAGACCTCCTTCACATCAGACGCCCAAGTTGCTAGTGCAAGGGGGGTGGCAGAAGCCCTCCCAGGCTTTAGCTCACTTCCTGCAGGTCCCCTTCTTTTGCTCCCACTTCTTGGAATCTAACCAGGGCTAGGCTGGCCATAAGGTAGAGGAGCTATGGCAGTCTCTGAGCAGTTTCCCCCTCAGCTGTTTCTTTCAGATGGATGAACGCCATACAACCTGTCTTGATCCCTTGTGATGGAGAACTCTGCCCTGTTATTGGTATTTATGTATTTGTTGGATTTATTTTGTAGATAGATTTATATCTCAACCTTCCTCCATAGAAAACTGTGATGATGCTGAACTGATGACAAGTGTGATGACATTTCATTCATTCATTCATTCATTCATTCATTCATTCATTCATTCAGCTGCCCATCTCACAAATGTGACTCTTGGTGGGTGTACAATAATCATACAACTGCTGCAATTATGTTCTTATGTGAGGAAGCCTGGAGTGAGTATGTAAGTTGCGGCATTTGCATGATTACATCATCATTTGCCCTCTCTGCAGACACTCATGGATGGCATGGCTAACATTTTGCCTTCCTGTATTTCCTGGAAGAACAATTCCGTGAAATGGGGACTAGGAGGCATTAACTGAATCAAAGTCAGACAGGGCACTTCCATGGCTGAAAAGGGGCTTTAACCCTGGTGTCTTGGGCTGGCCCTGGATCATCTCTCCATGCTCTTCTGGCTGGCTGGTTTTATTCTTACCTCCGTTGCCCTCAACCTGGAAGGTCTCAGCATTCCTGCACTACCTCCTACTGGGATTAAGAGAAGAACATGAGAGGGTGGCTGTGAAAGAAGAACAAAAAACAAAACAAAACAGAAGAGCCAATCTCAGCAGAGACCCAAAGTCAGAAGAGGCAAACAGACAGCGCTACAAGACGTGACGCTGCTGGCCATGTCAAGCAACACCATGATGGTCCAGTCCAGCTCAGTCAACTGACAGTGGAGACCAGCCCATCAAGAAAGAGGAGGAGTGGGTGGTGGGTAGGACTGGGACCAGGAGAGTCAAAGTTAAGTGAGTGGTGAAGTTAGCATAGGGGCTCAAAATAGAAGCCAGGTAGTCAGAACATATAGGAGTTAGAACAGAGATACAGAAAGAAAATAGAATGGACCAAAGAAGATTTAAATCACACTTAGAAAAAGTTGACACAGAATAGAGACTCTAACTGTAAACTAGAAAGTGATAAGTCATCTTCCGTAATGAAGAAACATTCTCTGGTGGGACCGATTTGTGTGCATCCTGCCCGAGGGCTGTACCATCCTGAACCCAAGAGAAGGACTGCTCCTTGCCTCTTTCCTATATATACATATGCTGCTGTAGCGCCCGCCCTATGGAACTTCATG